GTTTTGGCAGGAGATGGCTCCTTTCTATAGGAGTGGACCAGCGAAAAAAATTCGTCCCATTCCACCATTTTGTTGTTGTCCCGCCTCCAGTGAAAGTGACATAGCTGCTGAATCAAAACTCGGATTTAGACCAAACCAAGTGATGAGAAGCTCAATTGGATGGTGCTCTTGCCAACAGTCTACTTGGTTTTGGCAGGGAGTAACTCCTTCAAATCGTTTCGGATGTCGAAAAAAATTCGGACCATATTGCCATTTTTGAGTGAAATACCCAAGCACACTGCCTTGCCTAATTCCTGAACCAAAACTCGGATTTAGACCAAACCAAGTGATGGGAAGCTCAATTKGATKGTGCTCTTGCCAACCGTCTACTTGGTTGTGGCAGGGAGTGACTCCTTCAAATCGTTTCAGATGTCAAAAAAATTCGGACCATTCCACCGCTATTTTGTTCTTGTCCCTGTTGCCTCCATTTTATACTAGCTATAAACAAATTATTTCTTGTACAACMAGAACGATATTTCGCGAACTTACTAAGGAGAGTGAGAGCTTTGTAACGGTACCCTGGACTTTGTCTAGCATGCTCTGCTTATTGAGTTATTGCAGTTCCAATGGTCAGTTTGAGGCTTTGAGGAGTTGTCATTTTTTTTGGTCTGTTTGACGATGCAGTAACAAAGTGAGTGTGATGTGATGTGATGTGCGGTGTTGTGTTGTGTCACATGGTGCGTCACACCAATAAGAAAATGCGTCATTTTTGTGTGTTATTTAAGGTGGTGTGGTCCTGGACCAAATGGCACTACCATACGTGTAGAAAAGTACTTGGTCCTGGTCCTACACCGATATAATAACTAATATTATAATTTGAATCACATACGTTATTTCGTGCATTAGTGGATTCGTAGTATCAGATTGTTCACTTCCGTGTATTTTGATGAAGCTTATTGTCAAAATTAAACTGAAAATAATTTTGTCTTTCAAGTTTAAGTTGCATTCAGCAATTGGTCCTTCGTTCGCTCGTTGAGTCTTGCTCGCAAGATTACGATTACGACTACGACCCGTCTCATGCGTGACCCTTGTTTGGTGATCCCACAAGGTGGAATGGCCAAGGGTTCATCAATAAGTGTCAGCGGTCTATGGTACGAGCACGTACAGTACGAACGCTACCATCACATTGGAAGTGTGCGAGACCAAAGCAAATGCATTGGGATAGACACTGCGTCACGTGACTTTGAATGGTACATGCAACCTGATCGAAAGTGTTGCCCGAATAAAAAAATGGGACGACATGAATTGACACTTTTATTTCCTTCCAGTGACAAAATGTCAATTTGATTCCCATGAGTGCCCTCGGAAGAAATGAGGTTGTACCGGTAGAGCGAGTCGAAGACCAACGGTCTTTTTTGGTGAACGCTTAAAGAATTCAAAACATTGAACATACGTATACCGTACCGTACGTACGTATACATAGTATGACTACGTAATACTGAATCATCTGCACCGTTGTTTCTCTACCGGTACGAGTTTCTCAATGTTCGAACATACATTTTAGTCGTCATAGTCGGATACGGTATCAGCATACGTACTTCTGCGTACAAATTCGAACTTCAAGATACCCTCTCTTACCTCCTGATTGAACCAAATTGATTTGATCGTGTGAGAATTTAGATTCTGGTCTGCCATGCCCAACATTACGACGAGTATGGTAGGTTCGTTCTTACCTTACTCTGTAGGTACGAGGTACTCTTACCCTACGGTACAGTACAACGTACGTAGGCACATAATGTTTCAAATGTTGCCAAGGTGATCGTTCAGTCACACTCTCAACACCTCCACCAAAATAGGAAGGCAACGAAAGTTCTATTCGCGCCGAGCAGCATTGTAACATCGCTCTCAAGGCCAGCAGAGAAAGGAAGGAAGCTCTCGCAAAAAACAACACCAGAGTCGAACAAAACACGACGCGACCATGTCACGAACATACCCAAATCCTGCTTTTCTTCTTTCAAACACGAAACTGGTGCTGGTGCTGTTTTCCTTGTTGGAGGTCTCGGCCCTGCACTGCAACCACCCCCATCGGCTGGCCGCGAGACCGGTCTCGATCGGCGGCACGACGCGAGCCTTTGTTTCTTCGTCAACGCATCAATCAAGCAGAAACGCAAACACACAGACACATAGCTCCTCGCGATTGTCGGCCTGGCTCTCGGAAAAATTCCCGTTGCCCAGAACGGATGCGGTCGGTCCAAGGAAAAGGCGTAGGTGCCGGTGCCCGGATGACGACGAAGACGAAAGCCAGGCCGAGAGCCACGTGGTAGCTTCGTCGCTGGACGAGTCCCGCCGGGAGGCTATTTTTGCAGCGATGGGAAGCCTCTGGGCGGCTGCTTCGTTACCGGCCTTTCCCTCCGCGGCCTCCGCCACCGCGGGAGTCGACGCCAACATGGCCTTCCCAGACGTCATGGCCGGCCTAAACGATCGCAACACCAAGCAGTGTCTGGTTGAGAGCCTGGGGAACCGCGAGTGCCTCGTGTACAAGGAAACCGACCCGGACAAGCTCCTCTACAAGGGCATTGACTCCGCCAAACTGGTGGAGCGGATCGAAAAGGCCACGGGCGCCCTGGCCAGGATCCCTCCGCTGGTGGAAACGAAAAAGTGGAACGAGGTCACGGGCATCCTGACGGGGCCGATGGGAGAGCTCTCGTCGACCCTCACGCTGTTGGCGGGAACCGACGCGCCCAAGACGAAGCTCGCACGAAAGGTCAAGGAGGACCTCTTCGCCATGGGGACGGCCACGACTCAGCGACAGCCGGACGTGATCATGAGGTACCACGCCAAGGCGATCGAGGACCTGGCAAACTTTCTCGCAGCGGCCCTATAGAGATGGCGATTCCCTTTGTGGTGTCTGTATTTTTCAGATCTGTGAGGACCATGGCACAAATGCTTCAAAAAAAGGAGGAAACAATGCCCTTTTTTGTCGTCGAAAATCGTTCCAGGTCATCAGTACAGCTACGAAGGATGCACGTGCCAAATGGACCAGAAGCATACAATAAGCTGCGGGAGAAATTACTTGACCCTCCATAGAAGCAACGGCTTTCCTGTTGTCTAGCTTTCGGTGCATCCAAGATGCCCAAAGGACGTAAGAGACTGCAAAAGAAAATTTTTGGCCGTTCATGCACAATCACTTTCCTATTCAATATCCTTGCACTGTAGCAATTGAGTGCATTGCTGGGAGATGCTGTTTGTTTGTATCGCCGATGAGAATAAATATAGAAACAAAAGACTTTGTTATGCGACTGCTACTTCGTACTTGTCCTAGCTGTGCGATTGGATTGAAATCTTGTGTCCCTAGGCATACCCGCACATTTGATTCCACATTGGCCCAACGACTTTTTTGAAGCATGCCTATGAGAGTTCTCGTTTGGCATCTTCATGACCGTAGATTGTCAACAATGTTCCTGTACTGTAGTTCATTTGTGTCATGACTACTTTACAAGCCTACCCGGGAAGGCCTCTTTTCACGGGGAATTCGGTTCTCTTTCACAACCGATTCATACGACCGTTAGTTCCCATCAATGATACCGAGCTTTATCGTTAATGGGTCGGAGGGTGCGCTGTTCATGGTGAGGCTCGCGCATTCCATTCCATATTGGTTCAGCGCCTCGTCGACGTTGTCGATAGAAATATGCCTCGCAATTTTGATCAATTTATCTATGACGGTCGGATCTTCGTACCGTTTGTGCTCATGCTTAGCAAAAGTTGCGCTGCCACGATATATCTCAAACGTTAGATCGCCAGAATACAGAACCCTCAGAAAGGAATAATGAGCCAGCGTGGCCGCCCTGTGCTCCTCGTCTTTTCTTTCACAACTTTTGGCCTCTAGCTTTTCGAATTTCTCTCCCATGTCCAGGTATGTCGAAAGGGAAGGACATAGAGAGACGGAGCTTGCGTCCACGTTTTCAAACCCATAATACTCGAGATCTTTCAAGAATCCCTTCTTGGAAACGGTCACGGGCAGGGACACTACCTGGCCGTCCCTCATATAATCTAGAACATACTGGAACCGCTCTGAATTTCTCTCAATGAAGATAGGAATTTCCTCCTTGCGGCCGTCGTCATCATCATGCGCCCATGTCTTGGACACCATTCGTGACAACATCGTGTCGGGAAACAGCTCGAGTAGCGAACGCGATACCCTGTAAACTCTCCCCCCAACGTCAAACTGGACGGTGGTAGAGTTCGTGCCTTTGTTGGCACTGTAACTCTTTCTGCTGGTCGTCATGAAATATGGTGCGTGACGGAAGGTAGGATGAGCGTGTTGGAAAACGAGATATTCTCAGACGAGGTGTTCTGTTCGTATTTTGCAATATTACTGTGAGCACTCGGTTTGTTCGTACGGCATGTGGCGGAAATCACGGAAATTCTTATTCAATCAATGATGTACCGTACTGCCGAATTTCTGGAAGTGAGTTCTTTCAATTCTTTCAATCAACCCTGTCTCCTGGGCCTGTTATTTCGGAAAAAATGTCGTACTACTCGTACGAGTAGGTCGTATTGTGACATCTTTTCGACATTCATAATGCCGTACCGTACAAGGTGACACCGGGTACAGTACAATGCGGGTCTCGGTTCCACTTTCGATCATGGATCTAAAATAGCGTACGAACCGTACAACGTCGAAGTAGGGTACGATACTCGTACTAGTACAGTGACTCGTTGTAAACTCTGCGATACAGGATTTTCGTACTCTGCACTTACTCGTACTAGTAATAGATCTTTCAACAGAGAAAAAGAAAAGCGTCACGACGTTGGTATTTCGTACCGTAGAACACGAACCTCTGTTTCGGACGAAGTGCACTGCCCGTAGTCGAACACGATAGCAATGGAGCGTGAACGCAGCAAAGAACTCACAAGTCACGACATCACTGCTGGCGGTATGCTCTAACAATACCCGGGTGGCGCCAATGATACTACTAGCTGTCCCTTGGCTTTGTCTGATGGATTGTATGGCGTAGCACAGTGAACGGGACTCCCCCACTAGGCACACCCTTTTCATGGTATGCACACACATTAGCTCGAAAGCAACTGCCATCGCATCGTAATCGTTTCGAATAGAATCGAGCCGAATCGTAACTAGGTACGTTCTGGGCAACTTTTTCTACGGGTGTGCAGGACCACGGTCACCACGATCGTGCGAAAGCAGCAGCAGTGGTGGAGACCATTGTAGCCTTCTCCTTGTTGTTCTTTCTATCACCAACGTGACTGCTAGTTGCTTTTCGAGTACCTCCTTCTAGTACTATGTACGACCAGCGATCCACTTTTAGGACGGTGGGGGGGGGGGGGGGTACTGGTGTTTTTGGTAGGGTGTCGCCCGCAGCAAAGGAAGGAGGAAGAAAGGGGGATCGGCACGGCACGACACGGCACGGCACGGCAGTGCTAGTACGAAAACCGCTATACATACAGCAAGACTGTTGCTTCAGCTGTCGCTGACTCGAGCTGCCGCCAGGGTGCGTGGTGAACAATCCCTCGAAGCTTTGCCGGACCAGTCCGACGGAATTACAGGAATCGAAACAGATAAAATCCATTGCTCGGGTGCCCAAGAATCGATGGGTTTGCTTCTTGCAGAGGGAAATGGAGAGGCACTCGACAAACAACAACGCAAACCGAATCCTACCACCGGCGCTGCGCTAGAAAAACCCCGGTGCTTTCTATCTACGGCAATGGGATCGGTGAACCACAATAAATCGTTTCTTTTTCTATTACTTCTTTGAGAGTTTATCACACTAGCGACACGTGTATGAAACAACACTCCGCGACATTTAATACGCACAACACGGAACAAACAAGAGTCCGATTGGGTTTGGCTTCTTTTCGTTTCGTCGTTCGATCGGATTCGATCCGGATCGAATCCGCAATCCTTTCCTTTCTGTTTTGGGGGTTTCAAGGGGAGCATCGATTTCCGCCCCGGTGTCGAACCCCCGTGTTCCGCGCTCCGGTCGGACGGACCGACCGACCGATCAGGGCAGGAAGAGGCTCCCCACCGCGAGGACCGCAACGGCCGTCGCCGACCGGACCAGGAGGCACCCGGCCCGGAACGACGACGACGATGCCGACGTCGCCGGGCTGTGCCCCGGCTCCTTTGGCGGGGTCAGGGTCACCGTCGGAACCCTCACGTTCGAGGCCGTGTAGACCTCGTCGTCCGGGGTCGGCGCCGACGCCACCACGGGGGCGACCGGCACGGGGACGGCAGTCACGGGGACGGGGACTGGGGCGGCAGTCACGGGGACGGGGACCGCCGTCGGGATCTTCGAAATTATCTCGGTGGTAGTCACGGTGGTTTCGGTGGTGTCCACCATGGTGGGGGCCATCGACCCCCCGATAATGGGCGCCCCGGTGGAAAGACTCGTCGTCGACGACGTCACCTCCGGGGTGGGGGAGGCTGTCGGGGCCGGGCAGTTTACGTTGAAGAGAGAGCACTCACAGTTGAGGATGCTGCCGGTGGCGTCGGCTTGCAAGGCCGCGCAGTACAGGACGTGGACGGTCTCGCAGAAGTTGGGCTCCTTGCCGGCGTGCTGCCCGTCCGGAGACAGGGTGCACAGACACACGTCGTACTTCATAACATCGACGGCGTCCTCGGAACCAAAGTACTTCTGGCAGTAGTTGCTCACGATGGAATCGTCGCAGTAGCCGTAGCCGGCGTACTCTGCGTCGGGGAGCTGGAAGTCGTACCCCTTGCAGATGCAGACGTCGTAGGCCGCGGGGTCGGTCGGGGGGCTGCTGTTTTCGTCCAGGACAAAGTTTGCCGCGCAGTGCGTGTAGATCTCCTGGTTGTCCCTGGTGGTCGGCAGTGTGTTGAACCTGCTGGGGGTCATGGCGCCCCTTCCCTGCAGGGAGCGGCCGCCGTGAACGGCCGGTGCCGGAAGGCAGTGCCAATCGTCCCCGCCCTGTTGGGTATCGTTCGTTCCCGAAACGCAGGATTCCCCCGGTCCGCACGCCAACAAACCCAGATCCGGAAGGCATCGCTTCGGCGTTTTCTCGGTTTTGATGTGGATGTTTTTGTGGACGATGCTGGCATCCTTTGCGTTCGTGAGCTCGTTTGGAGAAGAATCGTCGTAGCCCGAGTCGAGGATGATCTTGCTGGTATCGTTGAGAGTGTTGTCGTCGGTTTTGTTGCTGTATTTGTGTTCCTGGTTGGCGTCATCGGCAATGGAATGTGCGTTGGCGTTTCCAACAACCTCCACGCCATGAATCGGGTCCTGGAGACGGAGCTGTTCGCTGACATGTGCACGAGCATTAGCATTGGCATTAGCATTATCATTGGCACGGCCATCTGCATCAGCGGCATCCGTCGGAGGCATCGACGCAGAAGCAATCGCGAGGGATCCCAACGAAAAAAATTGGCGGAGGGCTTGGTTGCTTGGTTTCATAGTGGCACGAATCAAATCAAATCAAGTCAAAATAAAATAAATCGAATCAAATCGAATTCTCCAGCTGTGGTTGGTGTGTGGATGTGGGGATGTGTCTGGAATGCGGGAGTAGGTCGCTTGGCTTTGACAATCGCTGAACATTTAACGATGGCGAAGGCTACGGTACCGTGTCTCTTTTGCGAAGAGTAGGTTGAATTTGAGAGAGCCAGAAATTTTTCCACGAAGGAAGAAAAACGAAAAACCGAACATCGAGGGCAGGCTATGTCCGATTCTTTCAGTACAATACGTACGGAGCAATACGTATGGCAATGCCTGTGACTGTGACAATGTACCGTATGTACAGTCACACGACTATTTGTTTTGGCCTAATACGTCATTTTAGAGCGATTTTGGCGTTAATTTAGAGTTAGGGATAATACTAAAATTGGATAGGAATGAAG